AGTGGTGCTGTGGCTCAAGTGGTAGAGCGCTAGCCTTGAGCTGAAGAGCTGAGGGACAGCGCCCAGGCCCAGAGTTCAGGCCCCACGACCGGACCCCAAAAAAAAAGAAGCATTCCCTGGGTTAGTGGACATTCTTTTCCTCCCTGAAAAACTACCCAAAGTACCCCCTGCCCAGTAACCTGGGCCAGCAGTGAGTAGGTAAGGGAGGGTGAGAAGGATTCATGGGATTGGATAGAACCTCTCTCTAGGGAGTGCAAAGGTGCTGGGAGGTCCCAGTGCTGTGGTGGTGGCATCATCCAGAAGGGTGGGCAGTGTTGACTATTTCCTTCTAATGCTTGTCCTTGGCCTCCAGCCCTGGCCCAGTGTATCCAACCTTGCCAAAGACTTCATTGACCGCCTGCTGACAGTGGACCCTGGAGCTCGGATGACTGCGCTGCAGGCCTTGAGGCACCCGTGGGTGGTGAGCATGGCAGCCTCTTCATCCATGAAGAATCTGCATAGATCCATCTCCCAGAACCTCCTCAAGCGTGCCTCCTCTCGCTGCCAGAGCACCAAATCTGCCCAGTCCACACGTTCTAGTCGCTCCACACGCTCCAACAAGTCTCGCCGTGTGCGGGAGCGAGAGCTGCGGGAGCTCAACCTGCGCTATCAACAGCAGTATAATGGCTGAACCACCAGCTGTGACTTAGATATGACACAGTCTCAGCCTCGCTGCTTTCTGCTGTGCCGTCTGAGATCAGTACCCTCTCTGGAGGTAGGCCTCCTGGCTAGTGGTACGAAGAGAATGTCTGGCTCCAGCCCCTTCTCTGTGCCTTAGTAATCTCTGTCCTTACCATGGGTGGCCCGGAGAACAGTGACATCCTCCGCTCTCCTAACTGGGAACCTTAGCTGGCACTGCTACCCCTTTTTGGTGGGCAGTACTCTTATGAGTTGGGGGAAGGGACAGGACCTCATCATCACTTACCCCCTTATCCTTTGACTTTTTTCCCCAGACCAAAGTAGCCTACAAGCCGGGCGCCGGTGGCTCACGCCTGTAATCCTAGCTATTCAGGAGGCTGAGATCTGAGGATCACGGTTCAAAGCCAGCCCGGGCAACAAAGTCTGTGAGACTCTTATCGCCAATAAACCACTAGAAACCCGGAAGTGGCGCTGTGGCTCAAGCGGTTGAGCGCTCGCTTTGAGCTGAAGAGCTCAGGGACAGCACCCAAGCCCAGAGTTCAAGCCCCAGGACCGACCAAAAAAACAAAAAAAACCCAAAGTGGCCTACAGTGCTGGGTGGAGGGATTCTTAGGGTCTAAGATCTTTGGGACTGTTACTTTTAGATCTCCCCTCCTTCTTCTACAGAACTTTCTTTCCTAGCCCTCTACATTCCATGTCATCCTGATCCTTATGATTGTGCTCCAGCTTGGTGCCAAAGGCTAACAGCTATAATCCTAGCTACTCAGGAGGCTGAGATCTGAGGATTGTAGTTCAAAGTCAGCCTGGAAGACAAATCTGAGACATTGTTATTTCCAGTTAACCAGCAGAGGCCAGAACTGGAGGCATGGCTCAAGTGGTAGAGCCCAGCTATAAGTGATAAAGCTAAGCAAGAGCACAAGCCCTGATTTTAAATCTCAGTACAGACATTCAGTACAGACATACACACACACACACACACACACACACACACACACACACACACACACACACACA